AAAGGGAGGACTCAGCTCCAGGACTGAAAAACTCCTGGAAATGCCTTGCAATAATGACTGGAGAAATGACTCAGTGGCTAAGAGCACTGGCTGCTCTTATGCGAGATCCAGGTTTGGTTCTTAGTACCTACATAGTAGCTCACAACTCCAATTCTAGGGGATCTAACACCCTCTTCTGGCCTCTGTGGGCACCAGCTATGCATGCAGGAAAACATAAAATAAAATAAGCCAGACCTACTGAGGCTGTAAACCGTGTAGGAACCAGGGCCTTGTGGTCTCCACAAAGCTTAGCAAAATGGTTGCAAGTAACAGGCACACAAGCCACTCTTTCACTAATGGGAGATGAATTTTTTTGCATCATTTGTTTTGATTGTTTTTCTTTCAGTGTTCTGCAGTTAACATTCTTCTTACAATAATCCGGGATTTCTATTGTTCATTTTGATTCATTTTTATACTGTGCAAGTGAAAACGAATCTCTCAAACACTACCTTTGCTAGTTATGAACCACAATCTATAATCACGTTTTCTCTTTTTTCCTCCATTTTTTAATTTAAATTAGAAACAAGATTGTTTTACATGTCAAACCCCGTTCCCTCTCCCTGCCCTTCTCCCCTGCCCCTCCCCAGCTAACACTCTACCTATCCCATACCCTTTGTGCTCCACAGGGAGAGTGAGATCTTCCATAGGGGGTCTTCAGAGTCTGTCATATCCTTTGGGATAGGGCCTAGGCCCTCCCCTGAATCACACGTTTTCTTAAACCGATGAGTCTCCTTTTAAACTGTTAATAAACATGTCTGGCTTCAATCAGGGTTTCAAACTATTATTTCCAGATGGTGAGACGCTCAAATCTGATAAGGTCTCATACAGCCTACCAAGTGGAACAAAATGCCACAGCTTTGGCAGTCATTGTGCCATTAATATGACGATGAGAATAAACAAGCTCCCTTGTGTTGCTGCGATCCCTCCCACCCCAGGAAAAACCATCAAATTGTTAACCAATCAAAATGTAAATGGATCACACTCAGTGTTAGTATCTGCTTACACACACACACACACACACACACACACACACACACACACACACACACACACACTTTTTTGAGACAGGGTTTTTCTGTGTAGCCCTAGCTATCCTGGAACTCCCTCTGTAGATCAGGCTGACCTCGAGCTCACAGAGATCCACCTGCCTCTGCCTCCCAAGTGCTGGGATTAAAGGCATGCACCACCACCATCTGGCTCTTTTTTTTTCCATTTTAATAAATTTGTTCATTTATCTAGAAGTGTTAAAACCTAAGCCTTTTATGAAGTAATCATTTACGTGCATGTCTGTGCATTGTGTCCTTTTAATTGAATGTAATTCACATAAGTTACCACTTATGTATACAGTTCAATGGTTTTTTCTGTATATGGTTTATTTAGGACAGACATTATCATTGTCTAATTTCCTATTCCCAGCCATGCTATCAAAAGAAACCCCGTACCTGTTGTCAGTGCCAGTCCTCTCCTCACCCATGGCAATGCGCATTCTACTGTCTGCCTCTGGTTTGTCTATTCTGGACACTTTTACATTGATGAAGTCACATAGTAAAAGCTTATACGTTTGCCTTCTTTCTTTATATAAGACTTTCAGAACTGAGCCAGGCTGGGATGTGTGCCAGTCAGTGCTTTATAGCTTCTTATGGCTGAATAGCATTCCCCTGTGCAGATACGTCTTACTTTGTTTAGAAGTTGATGGACACTCAGATTGCTTCCCCTTTTCAGCTATTATTACTGCTATTATTGCTACTATTGCTATGACATTTTCTGCGGGGCTCTGTTTGGATGTCTTTTGTCTTCTTGGGTATACATCTTACACACCCAAGAGTTTACTTACTGGTTTATATGGTAACTGATGAACTTTTTAAAGAACTGTCAGTGTCCCCCAAAGTCTGCACCACTCCACATTCCCACCCACAGTATGGAAGGACTCCAGTTTCCCCATATCCTTCCACATTTTCTAACTCGAGTTTGTTATTGTTGTTGTTTTAATATGAACAACCCAATGAGTATAAAATAGCATCTTGTGATTTTGATTTACTCATAACTAATCATTTCTCTTCATGTACCTGTTGGTCATTTTGTATCTTATATGGAGAAATGGCAATTCAAAAATATTTGCTTGATTTCAAGTGGATTGTCTTCTTTTTAAAAAGAAAACAAATTTCTTCTTTTTTGATTTTATTTTTTATATATTTGAATTACAAACAAGATTGAATTACATGACGATCCCAGTTCCCTTCTCCATCCCTTCCTCCTCTACCACCCCCCCAACTAAAATCCTACCTATCATATGTCCTTTCTTCTAATCTACACCTGACTTTCTGCTTCCTCATGACCTCTGCATCCTTCCTAAGAAAACAAATTTTTATTGTGTAGAAAAACATATATATATATTCCTCAGCTTCTTCAATGCCTCCGGTATAAAGGACATTATTATGCCTTAGTAAAACTCCACCCATATTTCCAGACAGTGCCCCATCTATGTATTATTTGGTATTTGCAAGCTGCACTTTCATGTAGCCATATACATATTGTATTCCTCATTTAAGTTTTATCACTGGTTTTCCTGTCCACTGAAGAAAAGGTTGGGGACTGAGGGGCTAAACTCATCATGAATAACCCCACAAGCTCTGTAGGCTAATAACTGCTGCCCATCCCTTGTGACTGGAGCAGCTGCACCAGGACCCAGAGAAATGTGATTGTCTTTTTATTTTTGACTTTTAAATATTGTTTTCTACATTGCTAAGTCTTTATCAGGTCCATGATTTGCATGTCTGCCTTTGCTGAGTCACTTAAAAATATAAAACTTTTCAGAATGTTTCTATTTTGTCACCATGTGAAGCCAAAGTCCTACCATGTCTTTACCTGTTAACTTTTGGAAGGCCAACAGAATTCATGCTTGAAAATAGGAATTGGGGCAAGAATGAAGATCTGCGTTTGTAGAGGGTTTCACTGTGGAGGTCTTGCACCAATCCTTCCCACCACTGCCTTGAGGAAGGCTGCAGTCCCCTCTTCCATGGTGGCAGGTGGTATCAATGCTGAGTATACATGCTGTGGCAGAAGTTATGGGTTCCTAGTCTGGCAAATCCTGGCCCTGATGTGTGATCCAGCCACAGGTAAACTGAGAGCAATTAAGACTAGAAGACTCAGGATTGCAGACTCGCTGACATAAACATAGCTATCGGCACTGCAGGAGGAGGGGATCCCTTCGAATTGAGTAGTAAAGTGACTTCATCGGAGCTGAATGTTACTGAATTGTCTCAAGCTACTATCAGTGAAACCAGACACATTCTTGGCACGGTAACTCCAGAGTCTGGTGTAAACTCCACATACCACACTAATGACTTTGTTATTTGCAGACTGATGGGAAACTAACCAGATGACTCAGGACATCATGGCAGTTATAACTCAAGATGGCTGCTATAGGTCAAACGGGATCCACATAGTTATCACACTTTCAGTCTGGGTAGGAGGGAGACACTGTTTCCGCTTCAGAGATGCAGGAAAGAATGTTTATAGGACAGTTCTTGTCGATACAAGCTTGCCCGTTGGAGGTGCTGTGACTAGAAGCATTGAGGCAGATAGTGGTGGTCACCCTTTCCTTCACCCAGTTTCCACTGTCATCTCAACACTACCTCATGCAGAGAAGCCCAGAGCCCCACATGGAGGGAGGCAGAATAGGGAAGAACAGACTGCAGCTGATGATGATGGAAGCCAAGAGGGGGAAAAGAGTGGGCAAAGATACTACTTTGTTCGAGACCTTTCTAAAGGGACAAGTCAGCTTGTTTGCATGTTGACTAAGCCACATTCACTTCCTCATCTTTCTGTTCTGTTGGTGTGGGTTTATGCCAGTATATCAGTACTGGTGAGGATGTCCCTAATGGATGTCCTAGCTAGGCTGACGTACATCTCTGCTACTCCATCTTTGGTCCTACTAAATTTGGACCTTCCTTTTTACAAGATCCCCAGGTGATTTATACATACATCAAAGTCTGAGCATTAGAGCTTTTTGTGCGTGCGTGTGTGTGTGTGTGTGTGTGTGTGTGTGTGTGTGTGTGTGTGTGTGTGTGATGGTACCTGGACAGAGGCAGAGGAGGACATCAGGTATCTTGCTGTATCAATTGTCATCATTCCTTTGAGAAAAGGAATATGGAACTGGCTGGCAGGTGGACTGCTGTGTGGCATTACAGGCTCACGTGGCCACACCCAGCTTTTATGTGGGAGCTAGGATTTGAACTCAAGTCTTCATACTTGTGCATAGATTTATGCCCTGCTCCCCTCCTTCTGTGTACTTCACATGGTTCAGTCAATACCATCTGAGTCATCCTCGTCATTTTCCATAGCTTCCATGGATTTGGTCTAGGATATTCTTGGTACAATCTTAATTCTGACTCTAGTTTCTTTTCGTTTCTGGGCGAGTAAAAATAATCTCGACCAACTGGCATGGAGTTTTCTCAGAGTTGTCCACAGTTCCATAAGAACCCCACTCTGCTGGTTTACAATTGAGATTGGTCCTCACCGACTGGAGCTCCTTAAGGAAGAGGTGTGTGTCAACCATGCTTTACATGTCTTTACACCCATGCTGGGGCCTAAAACAGATACCGAACACAGTAAACAGTGACAGGATTTAGTTAGGTCTTTGAACTACAAAGAGAAGTATTTCAGAAGACACCAAAAACATATCAGGTGACTTTTCTTCTGTTCTCAACAAGATTCTGATAATTTTATTTCAGGGACAGCCAGTGGTACAGGAATTATGTCACACTCAGTGACTTCATAGAGCTTTTATGTATCCTGATTTCAATTCTGGATTTTTTTAATGAAAGGGCCAAAAGTAAATGTTTTTCTGTTCAAATAATTGGGATAGGTTAAACAAATGACCTTGTGAATTTAGACACACTGAAAATATCTTACATTGACTTCTCTTAACCCTAGTTCTGTTGCTTTTGAGGTCTGTGGCCATGACACCTGTCAGAGCCATAACTGTCTTTGAAGATCTCATGAGAAACTCCCTGAAGAATGCGTAAGACATATTAGTCAATATGCGTTACTTCTATTTACTCTGTGAGCCAGTGCTTTTCAGACAGTTACATTACTTTTCACTCATTACAGATGGTCTTGTCGTGCTACTAATGACTTTCTAAAGTTGACAGTCTAATAAGCCCATTGTTACAGGTGAGGTGCAGGCAGCAGGTTAAGGTAATTTTGGCCAAGATAATATAACTCATAAGGTGGTGAGACCAGGATTTGGACACAGAGCCAAAAGGAAGCTGTGCCAAGTTAATAACTTAAATTTATATAAACATTTATTTACAAGCAAATTTGGCACTGAGTACATGATGTAAAACAACAATAAAATCATAATCACATGTGCATAATCATAAATAAGATAGAGTTTATAAACCAATAGTTTGAATGCTATTATTTATTGGGATTATATTTCCTGTAGTCCTCTCCATGAAAAGGAGACTTAACACAAGGATCTTCAGTAAACATATATCCGTTAAGTTGCATACAGTCCAGCTTTAGTAAATAAACCTTATAATTAAGCTTTATATTTTTTTCTCAGATTTTTTTAAAGTTTGAATTAGAAACAAGATTGTTTTACATGACAATCCCAGTTCCCTTCTCCCTCCCGTCCTCCCCTACCACCGCCCCCCTCCCAACTAAAACCCTACCTATCACAAATCCTTTCTGTTCCCCCTGGATGGTGAGGCCTTCCATAGGGGGTCATCAGAGTCTGCCGTATCCTTTGGGATAGGGCCTAGGCCCACCCCCATGTGTCTTGGCTCAGGGAGTATCCCTCTATGTGGAATGGGCTCCCACAGTCCACACCTGTGCTAGGGATAAGCACTGAACTTCTACAGGATGTCCCATAGATTTTCGAGGTTTCCTCACTGAAATCCATGTTCCTGGGGTCTGGTTCAGTCCCATGCTGGTATCCCAGCTATCAGTCTGGGGAGCAATAGTTCTCCGATGTTCAGGTCAGCTGTTTCTGTGGGTTTCACCAGCCTGGTCTGGACCCCTTTGCTCTTCACTTGTCCTTCTCTGCATCTGGATTCCAGTTCAGTTCAGTGATTAGTTGTGTGTGTCAGCTTCTACTTCTACCAGCTACTGGATGAGGGCTATTGGGTAGCATATAAGTCAGTCATCAATCTCATTATCAGGGGAGGGCATTTAAGGTAGCCTCTTCTCTGTTGCTTAGATTGTTAGCTGGTGTCATCTTTGTACATCTCCAGACATTTCCCTAGTGTCTGATTTCTCTGTAAACCTAAAATGTCATCCTCTATTATGGTATCTCCATTCTTGTTATCTTCTATTCTTGCCCTGACTCAACCTTTCTGCTCCCTCATTTCCTCCTCAGCCCTCCTCTTCTCCCCTTCTCATTCTAGCTCCCTCTCCCTCTCCCCATGCTCCCAATTTGCTCAGCAGATCTTGACCCTTTCCCCTTCTCCAGGGGACCATAGATGTCTCTCTTAGGGTCCTCCTTGTTTATTAGCTTCTCTGACAGTGTGGATTGTAGGCTGGGAATCCTTTTCTCTATGTCTAAAATCCATGTATGAGTGAGTACATACCATGTTTGTCTTTTTGTGATTGGGTTACCTCGCTCAGAATGGTTTCTTCTAGTTCCATCCATTTTCCTGCAAATTTCAAGATTCTATAATTAAGCTTTATATTAAAAATATTTTGAAAAAAGAAATCAGGATTTTTATGCTACCTATTTTATGAGATGCAAATGAGATGTATATATATGTAATATATATACATATTTAAATCTTTATTAAAATCCATGTATATAACATTAAATTTTATAGCTTAATCAAATCTTATGGTTAATGAATATTGTTTTATGTAAACAATTAGCATTTTAAGCTTTTTTAAAAAGATTTACTTATTATGTATGCAGCGTTGTGTTTGCATGTATGCCTGCAGGTTAGAAGAGGGCACCAGATCTCATTACAGATGGTTGTGAGTCATCATGTGGTTGCTGGGAATTGAACTCAGGACCTCTGGAAGAGCAGCCAGTGCTCTTAACTGCTGAGCCATCACTCTAGCCAACATTTTAAATTTTTATGAAGCATTTCATATAACCAAAGATATCATTTTAGTAGGTCTTAAGATGCTTAGCATACTCACATTAATAAGATAGTGTTCCGAATTAGGTCTTTTAATATGTCAATACTTAGATTTGTTAGTCTGCATGTGTATTTTAATTGGGCATGCCAAAAAATAATTTTAGCATGTAACAAAAATAAATCTTTTTAAAAATAACAGAAGTGGTCCCAGCTTGTTTAAAAATAATTATTTTGACATAAACAACATATGAAAACAATTGTCATAGACACTCAGGACACAACTGCACAAAATCTAGGTGCATGTACTTTAGGAAAAAATGGTAGCAAGTTTATATATCTGTGTGAACTATGTTTTAAAATGTACTAACTATTTCAACTATTACAGGTATGGGCAGGCATGTTTTTGAATACTTTTTATTAAACCTCCCAAAGGGAATGCTGTTGGATTTCTAGGTCTGAGCCCAATGCAATTCAGCTTCTATCCCAGGTTTGTTTTGTAACTATGGAAAGTATAAATGCCTGAAATTGGAAGAGGGGGAACAATAGGCTGAGCTGATGCTAGCTGCACCCCCCTTTTTTTGTTTCATCATTTGTCCAGAAAATGGAACATTAAATGGTAGCATTCCCTGAATCTTCTCTTTTAAACTTGAGTCTTCAAATTTAAGAATCTTAGATTGGTTTCTTCCTGTGTTTCTTCTCTGTTACGTGTGTGTGTGTGTGTGTGTGTGTGTGTGTGTGTGTGTGAGCATAAGAACTGGAGAAGGCATGGGCAGGTTTCATCTGACATTCTGTCATCCTATTTTAAGGTGAGAGAACCAAGGCTAGAGTGAAATCCAGCCTCCTGGGCAGTAGAAGGGCTCTTTGGAGCCAGTTAACATTAAGTTTTGCCCCAGCGTAGGGGACTAGTTAAGTTAAAGAAGTTAAAGTTCCTTCAACTGTTACCAGTATTCTTCCCCCCTCTGAACCTGCTTAGGGATCATCTTGCAGATGGTTGGGAAGGAAGACCCACAATGATGAATGTGTCCATTTCTAGGGCAGCTTGTGTGGAGTTAATGACTGCGTCTTGGAGGATTTCGGTTGGCCTGGCCAAAGTCCTCTCTCGTTAGAGAGGTCATTCATCTTCCCCCTTCCTAGTTGGGGAACTCTCCCCCCCCCCCCCGCCACCCCGGTGAACTTGGCTGTTCACCTCCAGGTTAGAAGTTCCTCACAGCACCCTCTGGCTTTGGAGACTGTGCACCTTCACACAGCCCAAGGTTCCTGATACCAGATGTGGACACTTGTTTGTAGGCAGAGTTTTCCTGTGCTGTGGCCACTTCCCAAATAACCAACACAGAGACTCAATATTAACTACAAATGCTTGGTCTGTAGCTCAGGCTTGTTACTAACTAACTGTTACACTTATCCCATTTTTTTTTATCAATGCTTTGCCACGTGGCTTGGTACCTTTTCTCAGTATAGTGTACCCATTTTGCCTTCTCTGTGTCTGCTGGCGACTCTTACTTCACCCCTCTTCATCCCAGTATCCTCAGTTTGATTGTCCTGCATAACTTTATCCTGACTTGCTGTAGGCCAATCAGCTTCTTTATTAACCAATGATAGTAACACATAGCCACAGTGTACAGAGGATTATTCCACAGCATTTGTTGGCATGGAAACAGTAAATAAGAAAGAAGCCAAACATCAGAAACCAGATAGGCAACGCTTCATTGAAAGTATTGCTCCTGAGTAACTGGAAGCCAGCACTGACCAGGTTGCTTGGTAAACAAAGGGAGAGGCAAGTATTGCTCTCAGCTGTGTTGAGTCTAGAACTTTTCATTAGTTTTGTACATGAGTGCAGAAGATGCCTTTCTTCTTATGCTCTAATGCTCTAGCTTTATACTTCATAGATTGCCAGAATCAAGTTGTCCCAGGGATTTCTGAGTTTCTCTTACAGCTGACATCATTGCCTTGAAAAGACATCTGTAGTTAGTGTAGACCTTGTGAAACCCTTGAGTTGTTGCCATTATCTTGAATCTGATGTTTCCAAATTTTCTTGAAATTAGTAAAGCACACCCACTTCTAAGCTGTAACCCTTGGCCAAGGTTATTCACCAGACCCTTTTAGGTCAGGATGCCAGGGTGCTAGTTGTGAACCTCTGACTACTTCCTTAGGGCTTGGTTGGCATTTCTAGTCTTTGCAACTAAAGGAAAACTATTAGGGTACTGTGGCATTCAACTTGATAGAAATCATAGTTAACAAATGTAACGCATTTATTCATCATGCATTATTTTCAACTATTCCACATAGCAGCTCTTTTGTTTCTCCCATAAAAATCCTTATCTGGCTAAAGACTGAAAAACTAATACAGTGTTTCCTAGCCAGCCTGCACCCATATGGGTTGGAGATGATTCTGGGCATAGTTCTTGTTCATTGTTAATGTAAGTGTGAAAGTTGAGCATGTAGGGTTTGCTGCTCAATGGAACAATTCTGTGGCTGCTGTTGTTATTGGTTCTGAGTACAGACACCTTTATTTTTATAGACCAAGATTCCTTTTTCATAAAAGTCCAAAATTTACCAGAAGCAACCGGTTGACATTCCATGAAACAGTTGAAGACAGGCAATTCACAAAGCAAGAAATGAAAATGTCATGCCTTTTAAATTTATTTAAAATATTTTGAATACTTGGTATCTTACCTATTCATGAGTCTCCAGCACTTGTTTTTAACATAGGAAGTACGTTGGATTGATAATACAGTTCTTCTTTTTTTATAGCCACATTTTGGGAATTATCTAAGTATCAATATGTGTCAAGGCAAAATATATAGAAGAGTAGAATTTAGGTAAAGGCTAAGGTTCTTCAATATCTTGTGTGGTTCATCCACTAGAGGAGGGCGAAGGATGGATACATGCTTTTGAGTGAAGATTGTATTGTTCATTATAATTCAGCTCCCTTTTTATTGCCCTGTGCCCAAATGACTTTTCCTAAACTATTTGAGTTTCTGAATTTGCATATTCAGTGACATCCTCTTTGAATCTTGCTGTGATTTAATCATTTTTCCCCTCCAGCTAACATGTCGCTTGTCAGGCTAACATGTCACACACAGGAAGAAAGATATGACAGTCATCTAACTCATTTATTTCTTGATTTTAAAAAAAGGTATGTGTTTTGGGGGAAAGGCAAGACAGAACAGTTAGATGTTATTTGAAGTAGTTGGAATAAGATAATAAGAAAATGTTAATATTTTATAAGTCTTAGTGATCAAAGTCATTGTTAAATTGGGCCTCCATACAGCGGGTAGTTTTCACATAGACATCTTAAGACAAGGTTTCAGAGAATCTGTAACATTTCTTGTTCCTTTTTCTTCTCTTAAAAATTATTTATAAATAACCTATTATTTATTCCTGGAGTTTTCCATGCAATATTTTATGACTGAGATTCAAGTAGGTTACTGAAACTTCAGCACATAAGGTAAGGGTCCAGGGCTGTTGGACATGTAAAATCCTAGTTTATTGAGATTAATGAGGGGCCCTCCTATCTTGAGGATGTGTTTGGTTGCCATGGGAACCAACCAACCTTTCGAATCAAGGCATTCTTAGGGGAGGGGAAAAGGGGAAAAGGGCTGATAAACTAATAGTCAATGATGTAATAATCAATATGTATAGAACCAATGAGGAGGAAAGGAAAACAAAATCTTTCATGTGGAGAATATTATTTTTTACATTTTTAAATGCATGCTTCCTATTCACTACCTTCTGGATTTTCTGAGTCTAAACTTTATAGATTTGCAAGAGATGGTCTAAACAGCTTTTCTTGCCATTGAAATTTGCATTCTGCAGTACTTTCCCATCAAATTATATGCAAGAGAACTAAAAGTGTTTCCTCTCTCTTCCCTGTTTTTCTTAGGCATCGCCATAGGAGTCTTGGTTCGTGGACACAGTGAGCTCTCAAACCTGGATAAATTCTACTTCGCTTTTCCTGGAGAAATTCTAATGAGGATGCTGAAGCTTGTCATCTTGCCATTGATTATATCCAGCATGATCACAGGTACCTTGCGTTCTCTGTTATTTAAGGAGCCCATGAGAACCTGGGCTGTTCTTTACTAATTATGGTAACTTCAAAAAAAATTAGGCACACACACACACACACACACACACACACACACACACACACACACCCCACATTTGCAAAGCACATTCCCTAGACTTGAAATGTAATGGTACTCTCAAAGTGGCATTGCATCATTTGTGACACTGTCCCTCGGGTACTGTGGACCACAGCTCAAACCTTCATTTGTCCAACATGTCATGTCTTGTGCACAAGATGCCAGTTTTAAACATATTATGAATAAAACTTTATCTAGGGCACAGAATGGGGAAATGCACATTTGGCCATAGAAATGTCAGCTTATGACCTCGGGAAAAATACAGTTGTCAATTTTGATCATATTTTCTGTAGCTGGCTTCTTTGGTTCCTAACTCCAGCTCTCCTGCCTACTAACTTCTGGGCAGCTGTCCTGAAGGTGCCTCTCCTCTTGGCTGAGCACCCACTTCCCCTCCTCCACAGAGCTCAGCACTAGCTATGTACCTGCCCTGCAAGCCTGCCATGAGGTCAGAAGCCAAGAGCAATAGCAAAGGTTTAATTAGAGTTTGCATCCTAGTCTAGAATACTAGTGTTTTTAAATCTGCACATAGAACACAGTTGGATTTGGAAGTGGTTTTTCTCTTTCAGATCATTATGTCGCAGAGTTCCTTCAAACAGCACCAAACGTGCTTATGTAGAGAGTAACTTGATTTATTTTTTAATGCCATTTTTCTGGAGTTGGTATGCTGCTGTGTGATTCTGTGCTACTTTAATACTGGCACTTGGTAAAATGTGCCATGATATCTCTCACTAGTGCTATGGGCTTGAAAATGCAAGGTTTTATGTAACTATGCAATTAGGAGCCTTGACATGTCCTCCTTCCAGAACTCTCTTCTCAGTGTTATGGCAAAGGCTCAGTCTGTTGAGTCTGACTTTAGAGGTGGTGAGAGTGTCAGCATTTGCTGTCACCAGCTGCATTCTCTGAAATGCTGCCACAGTTGCCTATTCCCAGGTGTCAAGCTCCAGTCACACCAGAGGCCCGTGGGACCATTTTTCTTAAGCGACCTTGGTGTTCTTGGCTTATTAGAAACCTAAAGAGAACATTTAATTACTTTTATTCATGGGTTTAATTATGGTTAAAAATTACCAGTTTCTTTCCAGCCTAATGGCCTGAGGAGTGGGGGGGGGGGGGGGGGGGGGGGGGGGGGGACAGAAGATCTGTTATTTGTCTGTATAATGTTTGCCTATTTAAATTATTGAAAGCATTTAAAGTTTGGAAGATGTCTTATAAATTCCCAGATTTCTGGCATTTAAAAAATCAAATCTGCAAACATTGGGTCCATGTTTCCCCACATTAATAGTGTCCTGGAGCAAGAGACAGCTGTTCAATTTAGCTGTCACAAATGCATTTGAGGACACCAAAGTCACCAGCCACCCTTCCCTATTGTGTGCTCTCTAATTGCCCTGTAAGCATTGCAGTTATAACTTAGAATTTTCTCCCTATTAGAGATCCTTAAGTTGATTCTTGTACTCTTTTAGACAATATGAAGTCTTGGGCTTTCGCTCAAGAAAAATACTCATATTTGTACATATACAGAATATCTTGCATGTATCTATACAAAGCTTTATGTATGACATAGTTTGATTCTTCTGGTTTATGGGGAAAGTAAAAACAACAACAACAACAAAAAAAACTAATCCAGAGTAGAAAGAAAACTCAGAATTTATATAGTAAGCCAAAGTTTAGAAGAAAGGGTAAAAATATGTGTATGAATATGCTACTTTTATAATAGTATGTTTGGACAGTATCATTCTTGTCAGCAAAGTAAAAAAAAAAAAGTCTTCCAGATTTGCAGTCTGGAAGTTTTGTTGTGTAGCTTGGCCTTGAACATTATGTATGGGAAGAATTTAGAACTCTCAGATTCCATGAGTAGCCCAGCTCTGTCGCAACTGCAGCCCATAGCTCTCCACTTTCCCTCTACCAGTCTCCAGGAGCTGGAGCAAACATATGCCTCGTCCTTTTGATATGAAACAATGAAAGGTCAAAGGCTTGAGGGACATCAGCAAACACAGCTAGGAGGGCACTGCCACACTCATGTATCTAATCTTTAGGTTAGTGGGGGAGAGTGTTGGCAGGAATGTAGGGGAGAAAACTCAGTTTTACCTTTTCTGTTACCATATCAACTTAGACACACTCCGGAAGGCAGCAGGAAGCATGTTCGGACATTTCCGGCAAGTGAGCCTAGACAAGTTTTATCATAAAGGGGGTATATCCGTAGAGATCCATTCCAAGACCCAGGTATAGGACCCGCCAGATAGTGCTTTCATAATGACAGTGTGAATGGTTGTTACACACATAAGCTAGCATGTTGCAACTGCTAAAAGCCCGCTTGGATACATACCAAATGGCCCATGAGAATGTTTCCAGTATAGCTCTGAACAAAAGAAACAAATACAACACAAGAGACATTGTGACCGTCTGGACCGTATTTTATAGTATTAGCATTTTTAAAAGTTGACCCAAAACTGAAAGATTAACAGTCTTTCAGTGAGAATAGAAAGAAAATATGACCAATTGTGCTTTCTTCACATTTTTGAGGTGAACTCGTGTTATTTTTGTTACAATGTGTCTTTATAGTGTTTTTATTTTCTTCTTATGCTTAAGAAGAAAATCAGAGAGTGGATGAATTCTTCACCGTGTGCTTCAGACTCTGTCTCTGCTAGTCCCCTGCTCCCTTCCCTTCCCCAGCTCTTTTCCCTGCCAAAGCAATGCCACTTTTACCCTGCACGCCAGTCCTGCACTCGTCTTTGCCTCTGCACCCAGAGATAAGGTGATCCCATTACAAAATCCTTTCCCTAGGGCAACAGCTTAATCCATTCCTGGTGGGAGCTTGGGGGCCAGAGGTAAAACAGGAGGAAGTGTCAGGGAAGCTGTGGGTTGTGGGTGGGGTTGAATCCGTTCTCTGGAAATAGGTAGAGGCAAAAGAACTGCTAAGACTCAGATCCAAGACCAATAGAGTAAGCTCTTGTAGGAAAAACAACAACAACAACAACAACAACAACAACTAATTTGTCATCAAAGTCTTTTGGGAATAAAAATACATATTTTATAGCTGTATTTTTTTTTTAACATTGAGCATCCTTCTTGGTGATGTGTGGTTAGGAAATGATGTTTACCAGAGAAATTTGAATTGAGACTTGCTATTAAATGGTGTGAGGTGATTGTTAATCATTTAGTCAAGAGGTGATAATGATATACAGGTTTATGAACAAAATACCCTTATTTTCTAAACGCACATGGAACTATGTAGAGCTGAACTGACACAAGACCTCACATTGACTTTAGAATGGAGGGGGGTTGGGCATTTCCAGAGACGGGGTGTCATAGGAAGCCAGAATTCTCACCATGATTTGCATCCTGAAGAAAGAGTACTTTCCTGTCGTGGGAGAGATGTGGGCTTAACGCCCTTTGAAAGTTTCAGTTTTTAAGCTGTGTTCTATCAAACCACTAGAGACATCATGGGGCAAGTGGTGGAGCTGCCTGAGAACCGCGGCTCTGCGAAAACTCGGGAGTAGGTCTCCGCGGCTCACGAGTTTATATCTGGGTCACATTTCTTCAGTACAGTAAATCTGATGGCTGGAGCTTTTCCCACCACCAGCCCATGAAAAGATCGGCCTTCCCCATCCCACTCCAGGATTCCAGGATGCTCTTCGCTGCCACCCAGGTGCACTGCGCTCCATTAGCACAGCCGTGCCCCCTGCTGTCCGCTGTGGCTGCCTGCCTTCACACCTCTAATCCTGATAAGTTTCCCCTTCACTCCTCCATCTAATCAAGGAGCTTAACAATTCTCCATAGAATGGATGAGGACCCAGCGTTGCCAAGGACTTAGGCGTGTAATCAGAAGCAGCTGAGACACCAGCATTCAGTCACTTCCATAAAGGGCTCTTCAGGGTCTGTGCTGCTCCACAGGACTCCCATCTGCTTAGCTACCCTGCTTCCAAGATGGTGGAGAAGCTTCTGCCTCTGCATGAGAGCAGTCCAACTTGGCGCACCTTGGGCCCAGCACCTGATTCTAACGAGGAAAAGCTTCATCGCCACCCAAACTCCCTGTCCCGGCAAGTGTGCCCTCTTCCTGTTTTAAGTGCCATTGGAGACCATCCACCTTGGAGACAGCGTCTTTGTTGCCTCGAAGGGCATTTGCTTGTGAGTTCCATCAAAGTACTTAACCCTAGTACCTGATGGGTTGTTGGATATCCACCCAGCCAGTGGCCTGGAGAATGTCCAGGTCTGGCTGAATCAGATCGATGTTGACTTCAGTGTATATTTCTTCCCCAGATCAGGGGGAAGCTCATTCCTAACTGTTTCCTGCAAATGCTGGCAGCACACAAGGATGTGCATAGCAAGTGAGGAAACGTCCCTCGAGGGTGGCTCTGGGAATTCCAAGTTTATGCCAAGCTGAGGACACGCCCTTCTCCCCCTCCCCCCCCCCCCCCCCCCCCCCGGTCTCTCCCGGGCCATGAGTGTGAATCCCAGGACCGAGTCCATTTCCTGAGCAGGACACATCACCAAACACTAGACATCAATACAAATTGTCTGCCCTCCATTTATCAAAAACAGCAGTGCCAGGATAGCACTGCTGGAATGATTGGGTGTGTATTGGTAGTAAGATTCTCCAAGATATTTTGACTTTGTGCTCAGAAGATTTCAAAAATATTGGCACAGATTATAAAGTGATTGTTACTCTTAACTTCTACATTAGGATGGCAAAATGTTTTAGGTTTGACTTATACGCTAAAAGGAAACCTCTCTTCTCCCATTGTTTTTTATTTTTATTTTTTATTTTTTTATTTATTTTTTTGTTTGTTTTTCCAGACAGGGTTTCTCTGTGTAGCTTTGGAGGCTGTCATGGCACTCGCTCTGGAGACCAGGCTGGCCTCGAACTCACAGCGATCCACCTGCCTCT